GTCTGGGATACGGGCCGCGGGCCTAATCCGTCCTTCACTGCCATGGTGTTTTAGCCCTGCGACACGGTCCTTGGACTCCAGCTTGGCCCGAAGCGGTGCAGAACGAAAGCCGGCTCCAGGAGGACACGAGCAGGGTGGCAGTTGGCAGTGCAGAAACGCAGGAAAAGTCAAGGTTGGGAGCTAGTTTCTAGTCGGTTCAGAAAGTGACGTTTGGCAGTCTGGGATACGGGCCGCGGGCCCAATCCGTCCTTCACTGCCATGGTGTTTTAGCCCTGCGACACGGTCCTTGGACTCCAGCTTGGACCGAAGCAGTGCAGAACGAAAGCCGGCTCCAGGAGGACACGAGCAGGGTGGCAGTTGGCAGTGCAGAAACGCAGGAAAAGTCAAGGTTTGGAGCTAGTTTCTAGTCGGTTCAGAAAGTGACGTTTGGCAGTCTAGGATACGGGCCGCGGGCCCAATCCGTCCTTCACTGCCATTGTGTTTTAGCCCTGCGACACGGTCCTTGGACTCCAGCTTGGACCGAAGCGGTGCAGAACGAAAGCCGGCTCCAGGAGGACACGAGCAGGGTGGCAGTTGGCAGTGCAGTGTCGTCTCGGGTCTCTTTAGGATGCCATTTAAAGTTTCATACTGCGGTTACGAACGGGGGCTTCGGGTATGGGTCTTAAGTGCTAGATGCTAGAGCAACCCTTTAGGTCCCCAAGACACCTGGCCAATGACGAAAGCTCCTATTTCTTGAGCCATGAAAAAGTGTCAGAGCACATAGTTGTGCGTGTCATCCTGCAGGGGTCCATGCTGCTTGCATGTGCACAGTGCCAAACGCACATACAAATGGTTTGTTTAGGTCAGTTTCTGGTTTCTTTAGGGTTCATTTCATGCTTACGACACAGAGGCAGGCATGACCCTCCAGTGTCCAGGGGTCGGCGGCAGAGGGCGTAGCCCTTTAATATAATAATGTATACGTTTACGAGCAGGTTCCCCTTACCAACCATGATTCACAATGAGGTCGTTGTGAGATGGCTAGTGTTCACCCTCTTAGTTTGCTCCATGGATTGTATGAGCGGAACCCTAAGGCGGTCTTGTGGGAAAATAACTAATCCCCTCCCCCAAGAGAAACACTCCACTTAAAACTCTTCGATCTATCAAATTGGGGTCTGATTTAAGCTGGTTTTATCACGCACCTTTATCATCAACATCATCATCACCATCATCGTCATCACCATCATCATCACATGACTTAGCTTAGCCCACCGTTGTTTGTAGCATAGGAAAAATTGGTTGATCCGACCCTCCGCGCGCATACTATGCATACATGTAGATCATGTAGATCTATAATCACACACGATATAAGAGATATATATATATATACTATATATATATATACTATATATACATTGATAATTATTGATATATGATGATGTATGCCCGCATATCACATAATATGTACATCTTTCAGTAGGGATTACAGGGATTACCATGGATGTTTTCATCCCTCGGAGGCTGACGGGCCCAACCTGCATTTGCAGCTGCCATGGCTGCATTCCATCCTGGGGCCCCGAGAGGCCTATGATTGCGGTGTCACTGTCCATGCCAAATGGCAACAACATCACTGTTTGGTGGTAAAGCTAACCCCCAAAAAAAAACTTGATGCTGAAAAAAATGATTAAAAGCTAATTACGAAACCCCCATTTCGATATTGGTGATAATTTATGGCATTGGGCCATTGGGCCATTCCGCGTTGCAAGACAGGCCATGGCCATCGTCACGTCCTCCAGCCACCCCGCACCCTAAACCCAAATCCTGAACCTCCTGTAATCATAATGCTTTGTACAAGTACTATCAAGTACTGGCCGTCCAACATCTTCCAACCCCATGGAATTGCATGGAATTGCCATAAAAAACAGCATCTACTGAACAAATTCATGGAAAAAAACTGCACCAAATCTGGCAAACCCAACCCCATCCAACCCCCAACCGCCCCGTCTCTGCCAAGCAGCCCATGACATCCGGCCGCTGCTTCTGCTGCAACAGCTCCCCGAAGAGGTCCAGTGCCTTCGACCAATGCAGTGCCGCGCTGCAGGCTTTGAGGACATTGGTGTAACCTGGCAGCCGCCCCAGCTGTTGGGAATGAAAAGAATGAGGCACTCAAAGAAATTACAACAAAATTGAAAAGGTGGAAGTTGCCACTAGTTCAGTAAGATCTTACTTTTTTTGGAGGCTATTTCGAGAAATCACCAGCGATGGGCAACCCTGCAGTGGCCCAGGAGCTGATGATGTTGGCATCCAAAAGAGCAGCATCCATATCGCGGAGGAGTTGCCTGAGTTTCCATTCATAGTACCCTCTGGTGAACTAACATAGCAATGGAAAATCACCATTCTTAATGGGAAAATCCACTATAAATAGCCATTTTCCATTGCTATGTTAGTTCACCAGAGGGTAAACCACCAGTCTAAATCTAAGGATTCTAAGGTTGTCTAGCTCCCAGTAGAGGCTCCCAGTATCCCTGTCACCCTGCAATGATTTGTGGCTAAGAATCGACGCTCGTATCCACATTTGTTCACTTAGAAAACTATGTTTGTCGGTTGCCCTCCCATGGTATTTGATGGGGCTCCAAACCTCATTACCCCACTGTTAACTAACACCCAATATCACCACCCCTCTAAAGCATCCAAAAACTCAAAACATTAGGCACAAACTAGGGAAACAAATTGGCCATTTGTCAAATACAGCATCTGTTTCAAAAATACGAATATCAAATAATCACAACTTCATGGTACCGTACTGTAATATTGAAGAAACAACTTAAGTATTTCGACAGTGTTCGGCAAGTCGCAGGCTCACCTGCCATTGGGTTTCAAGGCTGGCAGCGCTGATGCAAGCATTGAAACCTTGAAAAACGGCCGCAAATCTGAGGAAATCATGAGAAAACCCCAGGAAAATCCAATGCAAGATGCAAGAAATCAAAGTAGATTGTTCCAAATGATCTGATTTATCTGTTACCCTCTGATAAACTAACATAACTATGGAAAATCACCATTTTTAATGGGAAAATCCACTATTTCTATGGTCATTTTCAATAGCTATTTTGACATAACCAGAGGGTAATCACCCTGATTCATCCGGTCATTGAGATGAGCGGCTGATCGAGTTGGGAAGCGCCTGGCGGACACGTTTTGTCCTAGCTTAAAAGGTTGAAAGCCCAAATCAATATAATATAAACAACATATATACATATACATATACATATGCATATACATATACATATGCATATGCATATACCTATACCTCTACCTCTACCTATACCTATACCTATACCTATACCCATACATATACATAGAGTGTACATATACATAGACTTATACCGTACCTATACCTATACATACATATATACATATATATCATTCTATGATATTCTATGCATAAATGTGACTAGAAGTCTAATAATATGCATCATTTCATAGGCAGCATATCTGCAAAAATGTCTGGCGCATCAATCGGTGCCACATACCATATTGGATCATCCATGGGAGGTTCAGGGTGGACAACGATTGCCCCTGGGTCGACCCAGAACATCGGTCACCCGCCTCCCGACATAAGGCGTCCTAGACAGTGACGTGCGGAGCCCATGAGCAACATTTAATAGATATGACGCGGCAGTTTCATGAACTTTTTTGGACTCAACAACAAAATAGAATCACTTGTATATATAATTCTGATATTACACTTATGATAGATAGATATACAGTATATATATAGATGTGTGTAATTTCAACTTATATAGCATCACTTCACATTTTTTAGGAGGGAATCCCATGGTCCTTGGAATATTGCTGTCTCAAGCACTCTCTAAAAATGTGTAAAATTGTCAGTCAACAATTAAGACAGACTTGGAATCACAGATTTCTAAATCCACAACCATTTCAGACCAGGAAACGCGCAGCTTGGGTCACTCTAGTGTTGAGCCGCCAGCTTTTTTAGAGTACCAAACTGCATGTGTCTCACAGGTTCGCTAAAGCTATGAATATATGCGTTCCCAAAGAGATGGAAATGATTTCCAAGATTCTGCATCCTATACACTAGAGACAACTGTTTTCTTTGCATAATTTCCAGGTGTCCAACTCTTCATTCTACTGCAGGGTCCTCTGAAATCGCTAGAAAATTGCTAGCATCTGCTAGACTTGATCAGCAACAACGGAAGAGATGCTCCCAACCGCTCCAGGATGCGGTACGGCTCATCCCCGACCAACATCACCAACATCAACCAACCACAGTAGACCATCTTCAGTGGCCATGCTTTGGGGTGCAGTTCCAGTTCTAAGTTCTTCACAAAACTTATCTGGGCCCAATATTCCAACTTGTTGGGCTTATTATTTAACATGTTTCACACCAACATTAACCATTCATAATATTATATTCATATCCCCATAATAGATATCTAACATAATATATGTTAAGATAATATTATGGACATATATCTGGGTAAATTATAATATTTCACTAACCTGAATAGTTCGGCCATTTGGGGATGATTTCCCTTATGAAAACCATGATTTCCAGGGTTCGGGAGAACAGGGTTCGGTATGGTTCGGTCGTTGTAATTTACCCAGATATTTCATGATATTTCACAGCAACATTCCATTCAGAAATCCCTTAAGAAATTCACCATGAAATCCCGTTTGAAACCAGCCAGAAATCCCAGGCCCCATGAAACGTTGCCGCGAGCCACAAAGAGCGCCAAGGACTTCTGCCAGTGGCCACGGCAGGCGTTCATCGTGGTGCTGTAGCTGATCACATTGGCCTTCAACTGCCTTGGCCATGGGAAATGCCGCAAGTCTATGGGTTCCTGGTTTCGGTGACCGAAACAGATGGGAAAATCATGGGGAAATCTTGGGAAAATCAGGTTGAAACGGCTGAATCCCAAAGATGCCAAGTTGTTTTCTGTATGACTGTTCCATAAAGAAACAATTTTGAGTTGCCAACGATGTTTTGATATGTTGCGGGCTCAAATGACATGTTTCCCAGCAGCATCTTTTGCTAGATTCAGGGCAGTTGACCACTGTTTATTCCAAGATCTAATCACCATAAACCTTATACTTGATCTAGCCATCCTACTTAAACGTATTTCACCTAGTCCCGTTTTAAATGTCTCTAGATTCTAGATGTTGATACTATGTCATAAACATCATGAATATCCTGTAGTTCAGCTAGTTGACCTGGCATTTTCCCGTCTCCAGATGTTTCTCCCTGGTTTGGTCCTACCTCATTGGCATCTCTTCCAAGAGCTGCATGGCCAAAAACCACTGCAGGCCCTTTCCGCAGCTGTTGATGCAGGCGTTGTAGGTTACCTACAACGCGAACCGTTCACCGGGAAGATTTCAAGGGACTAGCCGTTCCCCCGAAGTATCAAACATATCACAAAATGGAAGGTTTGTTTCCTGAATAGGGGTACCCCAAATCATCCAAAATTAGACCATTTTATATAATCCATTTTAGTATTTGAAACCCATGGCTTTGGGGTACCCCCATTTTAGGAAACCTCCAAAATGAGAGAGTTCAACGTGAAACATAGCGGCTTAACATGAGTTGTAATCCCTATGGTGTTTCATGAAGATCTAAGCCATTGAACTGATGAGAAATCATGGCCGTGGTCTAGGAATTGATTTTCAGTAGTAGTCCCAGAATAGATAAATCATCGAACAACATGACAGTAAATGATGCGTTTTTTCAGGTGCCCTCCAACGATAAACAAACATACCCATGGAAAATGGCCATGTGTTAAATGTTTTCATAGGTTAAGCATCTACAAATGGCTCATTTTCCATGGCTGTGTTTAATTTTTCGGCATTTGGATGGCAATATAAATCACAAATACTGACCAAAAACATCTTAGCTGGTAATCGTGGATAATCATTCCACCGAAGAGATTGATCTTGAACTGGGCTGTAGTAGATATATACCATTATATGTATACCGATTCATAGCAAAAGCTCTTAAATTGTGTCAAACTACCCCTGCAGTAGGTTGACCCAGTTCAAATGCAGGCCATCATGGGACCTCGAATCCCATGTGCCATGGTCAAGTTACATGGCCTATCAGCTATGGTCATCCATCACATGCAATGGGAATCCAAACACAAATCATTTTCCTGGTGTTTCCCCGTGGGTTTTGTTCACATCTTTTTATATAAGTTTACCCCATGGTAATTTCCCAATGAAAACCCGTTCATGGCTATAACATATACTGTATATTACTGTATACATATATAACTCTATATATGTAACATTCGCAACCCCCAAAAGAATAGAAATTTCATATATATATATATATAACATTAGGTTTTCCAATCATATATATATATAATGTAACATTGTTACCTTATTTTCCAGCATGCTACCCCTATGGCGGTTTACCATGGTCTACCTATCATTTCCAGGCCAACAACGGTTCGATTTCTTGCCACCCAAGGCGCCACGTTGGGCCAAAACTTTGCCCAAGGCATGGCCTGCAGTAACGCCACGGCCTCCGTCCACCTGCCAGGCATTTGTGGATTTTCACCGGTGTTTTCTGGAAGTTTCAAATATGGTTTTATGGTGATTAATGGTGATGAATGGTGATGAATGGTGATTTTCTGGAAGTTTCCAATGTTTTATGGATTTTTACGGTGATTAATAGTGCTTAATAGTGATTAATGGTGATTAATGGCAATGGTGGCTAATAGTGGTTAATAGTGATTAATACAGACCTGATTAATGTGGTTGAAACAATGTCGTAAACTATCCATTTGGGAATGGTAACCATACCACCAATAAAAATGGTGATGACTGGGGGATGGTTTATTATTGTTTTACCACATTATGGTTTAACTTGCGGTGTGTGGTTTAACCCTCCTGAGATGGATCGGTATGGGGATCGGAATTTCAGTGTCAATGGAATTTCAATGTCGATGGATTGGCTTAAGCAAAAATCGATTAGAACCCCGTAGTTTTTACCATCGAATGTAGAGTTTCCATGAGTTTCCTGCATCCGTGAAAACCAAGTCGAGGACAACATGGTCCAATGGAATTGCTGCACGTTTTCTATCGGACGGATCTCAGTTTTCGTAAACATATCAAGGTTTTCCACAGATCCCCATGTTGATCTGTTTCTGGCATACGAAGCAGAAATCATTATCTTTAGGCCGGCTTTTTGATGCTGCTCAACCATGTCATGGATATGTCTCATAAATTCACAACAAAAATGGACTGACATCCAACCTGAATGCGAGGTTGGTCAAAAAAAATGGGATGCACCGTTCCGCAGGACATGTTTCCCACTATTTCCCACTCCTAAACTGGAAAACCTGGTGCATTTTGGGCCCGCATGCTGCTCTGAACGGTAACATGTGTGTACATACATATATATATATATATACATATATATATATACATATATATATATATATGTGCAGTATATATACATATGAAATCGTCAAGAACAATGTTTACTGTTGCCAAGTGATAATCTAAAGTGATTCATTCTGACAACAGTTACCGTTCGGAAATCAGTGAGTCGACCCCAATCCCCCAAGGGGCTCCGCTGTCAACACGGCGTGCTGGAAAATCGCTCGTTTCGTTCGATGATTTCCAGCTAGCCAGGTTTGCTGAAGGGTAGTTGATACAACTAAGGAATACAAATAATATGTGTACATCAATATAATATATATATATATACAACATTAGTATATATTAAAGTTATATAACCAACTAAGAAAATATACTGTGGTAAACCCCAAAAAATAAACCATGATGGTCCATCCCATTCACCAACCATTGGCTCATCCCGGAATCCAATTGCTACAAGATGCTACAAGTATACCATGCCATACAGCAAAAAACACGTTCACAAACTAATATCCATACCCACCGGCGAACTAACATAGCGAACTGGATTTTACCCACCATTTTTCATAGAGAATCACCATATTTTTAATGGGTATATACGGATATATACGGTATAAGTATGGAAAATCACCATGTTTCATGGCTGAATCAACGACCTTTCGCCATGGCGAAGTTTCGCTACGCCGCGCTAAAGCTACGCTACTCGCCTGCTGTTCTTGGCGCAGTTGGCCATCGCCACCCCGAAGTCCTGACCGTCGCGGACGTTTCAAAAATGATGATCCTTTTAGAGGGTTTACCATCTGAGTATTTAACATAGCCATGGAAAATCCCTTATAAATGGAGGTTTGAATGGGAAAATCATCTATAAATGGGCCATTTTGCCATGGCTATGTTAAATAACCAGAGGGTTTAAATAGGGTAACTACGTTTACCATCTGGTTTTGACTAACAGTTTGCCATGGAAAATCACCATTTTATAGTTCGATAAACCATCTATTTCTATGGGCCATCTATACCATGGCTATGTGAGTCATAACCAGAGGGTAAATTTTTAAATATACTCAACCGATATATGTCATACCACCGGATAATAATGGGATAACCCATTGGACATAGGATCCATAGGGATCTGGGATCCGAATCTATCCATCACTCTCGTCCCAGATGGGAACCCTGTGAAACCCGTCCCGGTCCTGCGGTTCCCACGGTTCCCACTTCTTCTCGCCAGCCTCAGAAGTGGCGCATGGATGGTTGGAACCTCAAAAAACTACAGAAACTCTATGATCTGTATGGGTTTATCATGTGTTAGCATTTTATCCCTTCGGGTGGCTTGAATAATCACATTGAATTTGAAGCCATCCAGATACCTCCAGGTCGCAGAAATATGAAAAATTATCGTTTTAGTTGAAAAAGAACTTAAAATTCACACTGTTAATAGCAGATCTCCCAGACAAATGCAGAGGAAAATCAGCACCTTTAACGGCGAATAATTTTATATAGGTCTCATACGGCTATGAGTAAAACCCTGGCACCCCAGGTACCCTGTAATAGCTGGTTAATAGATGTCTAGTATGTTGCATCGGATTTTACATGGACTTTACATGACGTTTTTCACTGACATCCATCATTTTTTACGGCACTTGTTTGTAAAAAACATCCCACAGCCGCCTGAATCATCGTCAGCATCTGTTCCACTGTGCGCTTGGGTGGTGCTGGAGGCCGCCTCCATAGCGGTGTTGACTTCAATAAGTGGCTGCAGCAAGGTGCAGAAGAAAAACAAAACAAACAGAAGAATCAGAAGAATCTGATGCACCTTGCTGCAGAAGAATCTGACTGTATGGCTAATTGGAATGGGATTCTGCCAAAAATTGGTTGCCATGTGGCGCAGGTAGCTGCCCCCACCTCGCCAGCGCGGCTCCCCGCAGCATCCGCATTGGAAAAGGACAAGCCGGCCATGTCAAGACGCGCCAACATCGACACCGTAGATCCCAGCGGAATCTGAAAACACCAGTGGAGGAACGGCTGGAAGTCCTGGAATTTGCAAGAGGCATCTGTAACCCTGAGCATTTACAGATATTTATATATATAATGTAACATCTATATATATATATATCAATGTGTGTATAGTATAGTGCAGCAAAGTGCCGGCCGCAGCGAGAGCTCTCTCTCTCTCATGACAGCGAATATGGCATGGAGATCTAGTTGGATGCGCCGTTATGCAAGGAATTCCTGCACTAGAAATAGTTGAGTTTCTATGTACATTGGGGGAGGTTGTCTTGTATCTCTACGGTTGCAAGGCAAGAACAAAAGAACAAACTTACTATCTATGTATTACCTGTGCTACCCATGTATTACCTAATTACCTATGTACTATCTATGTATTACCTATGTGTCGAATTTTGGTTCAAACATGTCTTCTGCTAGCAGAACTCTAAAATTTGTCACTGTGAAGCGTCCATCGGCACGCTTGGATTCACAGCCCTTGAACCATTGAACATGCATTTCCAAAAATGCCCCTAACATCCAAATCACCACAATAATATCCAGCATTCTCATCACGTCTCTTGGGCCTCAAAGTGGATATTTAAGATGCCCTCCCCCTTTAAATGTTCCCCGTTTTGCCCCGGTGAGTATTGGACCTGTTCATCTTCAAAGGGTAAGATGTGTTAAGCCTTATCGGTTTCAACCCCTCTGAGAAATATGAGTCAGATTGGATCATCATCCCAACTATTGGGGAAAATAAAAAATGTTCCAAACCACCAACCAGTCATGTTTGCTGGCGAATTTTGAGTCCTTCCCGAGGTCTCTCCCAGTCGTCGCCCTCTTTTTAAGCTCCTTACAGCGACCCGCATCGAACCGGTCCCGGGAGACCGGTCTAAGCTCAATCGAAGTGCACGTCGTTGGCTGCCACCATGGCCGCGAAGCTAAAGTTCTCCAGATCCTGGCCGCACGTCGCGGATACAGTGGAAATGGTTTGGAAAAAAAAACATCCGTGGGCCCCTGGAGATTCATGGAATGGATAGATCAAAAATGTTATGGCTATATAGTCTATATAATAAATGTGTATATATACCGTATATATATATATGTGTGTGTACAAAGATAGATAGATAGATAGATCGATAGATCGATAGATCGATAGATCGATACATCGATAGATCGATAGATCGATAGATCGATAGATCGATAGATCGATAGATCGATAGATCGATAGATCGATAGATCGATAGATCGATAGATCGATACATCGATACATCGATAGATCGATAGATCGATAGATCGATAGATCGATAGATCGATACATCGATAGATCGATAGATCGATAGATCGATACAGCGATAGATCGATAGATCGATACATCGATAGATCGATAGATCGATAGATCGATAGATCGATAGGTAGGTAGGTATGTAGGTAGGTAGGTATGTAGGTAGGTAGGTAGGTATGTAGGTATGTAGGTATGTAGGTATGTAGGTATGTAGGTATGTAGGTATGTAGGTATGTAGGTATGTAGGTATGTAGGTATGTAGGTATGTAGGTTTGTAGGTATGTAGGTATGTAGGTATGTAGGTATGTAGGTATGTAGGTATGTAGGTATGTAGGTAGGTAGGTAGGTAGGTATGTAGGTATGTAGGTATGTATGTAGGTATGTAGTTATGTAGGTAGGTCGGTAGATAGGATTCTAGATAGGATTCTAGATAGGATTCTAGATAGGATTCTAGATAGGATTCTAGATAGGATTCTAGATAGGATTCTAGATAGGATTCTAGATAGGATTCTAGATTAGATTTGATTTGGTTTAGATCAAGGCAATAGTAGGGGGCCTTGAAAACTTGAACAACTAGTAACTAATTGAAATCACCAAGCTATCGAAGGAGGTATGCCTCCCCTCAGCTCCAAAATCTGCATCCAAAATCGAGCAATACTGGGCCACCTGAGGACCTCATTCACTACACTGATCTTAAACCAGGTGGCAGCTTTGCATCATCTTTGGTGTTTTTCTTTTGGTTTTATTGTGTTTACCCTCTGGGAAACTAACATAACTATGGAACATCACAATTTTTTTATGGATAAATCAGCTATAAATTGCCATTTTCAATAGCTATTTTGACATAACCAGAGGGTATATCCTCCATTTTCCCATGGTTTTCCCATGGTTTTCCCATGGTTTTCCCATGGTTTTCCCGGTGTTTTATCCCTTCCCCCACGGCTTTAGCTCGCCTCCTCTTCACGAGCACCGGAACGCTTCCCTGCGGCGGAGCCCTTTCCGGTGAATCCAGCACCAAACTACAGTTACAAGTTACCCTCTGGTTATGTCAAAATAGCAATGGAAAATGGCTATAGAAATAGTGGATTTTCCCATTAAAAATGGTGATTTTCCATTGCTATGTTAGTTCACCAGAGGGTAACTTGTAACTTGGAAATACTTAGATCAAACATGATCAAACAATCAATCGATCGCCGCACAGTTCGATAAAACCAGTCGATTTTCCCATGTTTTTGTTCACGAAATGGAGCCTATGGGGATGGTTGGGATGGCGTTCGGGTGCATCCCACATTCAAATGAGCTATGGCTATACGGATGTATCCCACAAATTTCGTGAGCTATATCAACATATATCAACAGATCTATATATAATAAACTTTATAAACAAACATGTGTTTCATTTCAATGGATGCAAATCGTTTGTTTATGGCATTGGGTTTACCACATTTAATGAGCTATGGCTATACAAACAGATCTATATCAAATAAACACGTGTTCCATTTCAATGGACAAACAAATGTAAATGGATGTAAATAAATCTTCACTGCCGGCTTCACCCAAGGGTAACGGCACGGCGATATCCTGGTTCTGGGGAAAACTGTCCGATGGATGACACACCAACTGAAGCGAAAAACTCATGGCGCTCGCTTTCACTTACAGAGTCAACATAGTTAGATAATGTTAGATAAAACATGTTTTCTTGGTGAAAAATCAGTTCAATCTCAGAAATATCATGAAAATAAACAGACAGACAAATACATACCGTGATTCTCAATCCCATATCTCCTGAACACTAACCACCGATCTAGTTGGTGGCTTCGTCATTAGGATCCTCATTATCCTAGGAAGAAAAATGAACATACTCGAAATCACCAGAGATATGTAAACTATGTAAACTTATAGCCTTATCAGGACCCATCTTCCAGGAATCTTCCACCCCAAATCCAAGATTTTATTTATCTCAATCTTTAGTCACTAAAAGACTTCAGTTTCCCTTCACTTTGGCTCCACAAGCATTCATCAAAACATATCAAAACCCAGATTTTCTCATGAGTTTCATGATTTTTCCACAAAGAAACCACCATTTTTCCAGGTTTTTTTCTCAGTTCAATGGATCCAGATACCTTTTTTCAGGCCCCCACCTTGGTCCATCCACCTGGGGTCACGACCGGGAGATTCAACCATTACTCTCGAATAAAAGAAAGCTCGGATCAGGTTCCATGGGTAGATGATTTGATGACATATCATAAATCATAAATATGATGATAACATCATACTTTGAAAGATCCTTTTCAGGATTTTTATATGGCTAGATTGGTAATATACTTCGATCTCCCTGTGCACATACCTACACGTAGATTAAGCCCAAAACTCTAATGCAGTTACATGCCCCGGCCCCAGCTGGACAACCTTCTCCGGCAGCTTCAACTGCTCCCAGCTGTCCCAGAAAAAAAGGCAAAGATTGAAGATCATCCGAAATGAGCAAATAAAAATAGAACATGTTCCCATGTCATTCTACTAGTTGGTTGATAGGCTTTCCATGGGCTATCATAATCCCTCATTGTAAAAAAGTTCAGACACCACCAATGGTCCTGGCCCAGACTTCTCAACCAGAGCGGGTTTGTCCAAAGATGGGTCGAAACATGTTTACACCGTTGCCATGTTTACGGACAAAGCCACAACTCCAGTCCTGACATGTTTTGAAACTGTCCCAGAATAGGTTCAAGAGACATGCTACAAATCATGGAAAATTATGGAAAATCCTGGGCAAACATGGAAACTCATGGAAAAACATGGAAACTCATGGAAAAACATGGAAACTCATGGAACATTCACTAAACTCCATGGGAAAAAATTCTTGAAACTCATGGGATTCTCTTGAAACTCCATGGGAAAATCCTGGAAGATTTTGAGGTCAACAGCTTCCCACACTGAGATCCCCTACGATTCTGCCGGTGAACCCCGGGGGATCTCCCCATAGAGCCGACGCCGCTTGAAGTCACCCTGTCGATCCATTGGGTGCGTCACCTGCCGGTTGGGCCTATTTATGGTGGTTGTTTATGGTGTTTTTAATGCTGGAAACTGCTGGTTGTTGAAGGGGATTTAAGATGATGTTCTGGGAATTTAACAGTTTGCTGTGGAAAATGATCAATTTAAAATTTATAGATGATTTACCATGATTTACCTGTCATATGTTAATTAACCCGAGGGTAAGCCTTGGTCCAAATATATATATATATATATGTGTGTGTGTTTATTTATATACATATATATATATTTATACATATATATCTGGGTATTTGTGACAGTTTGCAAACTGGAAAATCACGTTTTTTGGAGGTATAAATTTTATAGGTCTAGGTAAATCATCCATAAATGGACCATTTTCCATAGCTCTGTAAGGAAAAACCAGAGGGCATATGTTTTTGGCAGGAAATCATTGGAAAACCATGGCAGGTTAAGACTTTAGATCGCCTCATTCATCTTAAGCAGTCAAAAAAACAACACGCCCTCTGGTAAACATACAAAATGCTATTGAAAATTGCCGTTTATAGTTGATTTAACCATTGAAAATGGGTGACTTTCCATAGTTATCTTGGTTTACCAGAGGGTATGTTTCAAAGTCATGGGGTTCCGACCATCCTATACTACTTCGAAGTGCAGACCCTTGAACTAGAGGCTCAAACCGCGAATGCGCCTTGAACTGTGTAAATGTTTGGCACAACCCCCCCAAAAAAAAATAGAAAGGACAAATCCGGCTGGCTAAAATAGCATTAAATCAATATTTTAAGTGTTACTAAGTATACGTGGAATATCCTCAAGTGGCCCTGAGTATACATCATTGAGTTGTTTCTTCATCAAAAATGGTCAGACCTCCCAGGTGGAAACACCCACCTTCTAATGGTGCTATCATCGACATGATTCTATTCCCAATCATTGTGCACTATTCAGCCACATGCTACCCTCTGGTAAACCAACATAACTATATAAATAGAAAATCACATTTTTTTATGGGTAAATCAACTATAAATAGCCATTTTCAATAGCTATGTTAGTTTACCAGAGGCTACAAGAATTTTATTAGTTTGATATTGTATGTGATATTATTTAGCCACATACTATTCATCCACTTGAAAACATTTGATATGTTATTTTCGCACTCCTAATATCCACTACAGCAGATTCCACCCGGATTTCGTTTGAACGGCTAATTTTATACTGGGGGAGTGACAAGAGTGACAAACTGACCCATCCCCCAATATTGATATTTAACAAGTAGTATGTATAGATATTGTGTGATTGTATATTGTACATATAGATACATCTATACTGTAAATAATATCTATATTGTAAATAATATCTATATTGTAAACTGATAACTATAGTAATTAGTATATATATATATACACCCTCCGGTAATTTAACAGTTTGCTATGGAAAATCACCATTTTTAATAGGTAAATCAACGATTTCTATAGCCATTTTCCAGTTCGCAAACTGTTACTGCTCGCCTCAAGCGGTCTGTGAACCTGGCAAAAAACGAGTCTGGGGAGATTCCAATTTTGGCGCTGTTTTAGTGGTTTAGATTAATAGAACAATCTATGGATAAATATCTAATATATATATATATATAAATATTTTGTGTATATATTATATATAAAAATATTCCATATCTAACATATAACATGTTATCATCCATAGTCCAATATTCCATGTTATGTATTTATGGAATGGTTTTGTTTACTCAATGGCCATTTCAGGATCCTAGATTGGAGGTACCTACCATATATAAGGCCTATGTAAGGCCTATGTAAGGCCTATGTAAGGGAATATGCCCACAAAATATGGCCTGATATGGTACAGTACCTTCATTTTAGGATCCTGAAATTCCCATTGATTTACTGCAGACGTAGTTTAGATACATTTTTAAAAAAAACGTCCGACTGTATGATCATCCTGAATTCTGGATAGTCAAAAAATTGGCAAAAAATGGCCGCCCCGGTTATAAGTTGGTTTAGTAGGTTTAGTTTCGCCCAGTTAACTATAGTTATTTAATTGCCAAAAAGAAGCAGTTGTTGGAGTTCTAAACCAACTTAGCTATCGTTTGGGGGCCCCACGATGTACCCACTTTGGCAAATCATATCTTGACCCTCTCTGGAATTTTTACCGACCAAAAGGGTGATTTGACCCAAACAAAAAGATTTTGCTGGCGACACTGAAGATTTACAAACGAAGTGGGTATGGAACAAGTCCTTGGGACAGCGCACGGCGCACAAAAGGCTGTTCATCTTGTGAATTAACTCATTGCATCTCTCTCGCCCAATGCCATCTCCAGTTAAATCAGCGTATATTCCATCTTAATTTTCAAGGGTTTATCATTTTGACCCATACCTCTCCTCGGGTTTGTTTAGAAAAAAATGGCACCCCAACTCCGTTGGTCACTTAAGAAACCCCCATCGCAATCGGATCATCTTGGGGACCATCCGTAGAGGTTCCATGTAAACAGCTCAGGCCGGCCTGGGGTTTCTCAAAAGGGATCCGAGAAAAAAAACTAGACATAGATATATATATATATCTATATATATATCTATCTATCTATCTATCTGTATATATATATGAGATATCTTCAGAGAAGTTCCCCATTTTCTGGTCGTTTAAAAAACATGGCGGTATCGATGGCCAAAAAACCTGATCATCTCCCATGGCTCGATGGGCAGAACCATAGAGGAACCATGGAAAGCACCACAAAAAGTCATGGGTTTTTGTCATGTTTTGAAACTGTTTTGTCTAATAAAACATGGTACACCTAAAAGACCTAAAAGCAATGATAATATATTATAATCGAATCATGTCCCCTATTTTAATGACTGCAAACTGGTGGCTAATCCCCTATTTTCAGACACACCAAATCACCTGCAGCATACCCAACCTTTTTCACCGGACAACTTGAAGCCAGTGCAATTTGTCGCTTTGGCATGCAGGTTGGGCCCAGATCGGTCGCTGGGTTGCAGAGGTTCCATTTCAGAATTCAAGATCTACCATCCAGTATGGAAAATTGCCAATTTATACTGGATTTACCAATTCAAAAATTGTGATTTTCTACCAAAGGGTATTCCCTTTGCATTTTTGATCATTTTTGGTGTGAGGCCTACCAACAAACTACAAAACTATCTACAAACCGAAGTGTTGCGTCTTGCAATCCACATGTAAGTTCTTGAAAATGAAAAACAACAACTGTTTTTGTTCCTACTTGGGGGCACCCCGGTTGGGAAGTGCGTAATATATGATTAAAATGATAATATACTGTATGAAATCACCCACATATGTACAGAATATCTCCAGTTATATATCTTTACACATGTATATATATAAATTATATATATATATCACGTGAATTAGATATTCATATGAAAATGTGCCTGTGTCTATGGGGTATTATATGCGTGTGTTGGCTTCAAGCAACTGGTTTGATTCCTCATTCCTTCCGATTCAAGTTCTTGGTTGCTCTTGGATGGTTTGATTCCCTTTTTATGTATTAGAACCATTTCAGGGCCACATCCAAACTGTTACCCTCTGGTTATTTAACATAGCCATGGGAAAATGGCCCATAGAAATAGATGGTTTACCTAGCTATAAAATGGTGGATCTTTCCATGGCTATGTTAGTCATAACCAAATTGTTAATAGTTCTGATTCATGATGTTTTATCAACATGATTGAGTTCACCACGGTGGAACCGTTTCAAGCTAAATAACATGAAAAACGCAGATATTCCATACAAGCCATAACCCACACCAGCCATAATTCACAGGTCACTCAGATTCACTAGCCGCCATCGTGAAATCACCAGCGTCTCCCATTTGGAGGATCCACGTGTTGTCTTAACACCATTAGCGGTACACATAGTCCACAAAATAGTCACATATAATAGCTAATAAGAAAACATCGTATTATATAGCGACTATTAGCAGCCAACACCTACTAAGACAAACGATAACAGCCGATATCCTACACTGGGACGCATCAGCTCAGAAGAGCCACCCCGGGCATAAGGAGGACGTATGAATAGGTATCTTTCTAATATACTCTTAAAGAATGGAAAATTACTGGTCTATCTCTTCTTGATGGTTCCTATACCAGCTATTTTTTTGCTATAAATTATGAACAACTATTTAACATGATTTAACTGTCAAAAAGGGTAAACATATTGGATTTGGCCATCAAAAATGTGGATTGACAAAATGCTTTCCATGTTTTTCTGTTTTTTCCATGGGTTGGTTAAATTTAAAGGAAACTCTACGGTTGAAGTCATGTTTGTTACCACAAACAGGAGGCGTTTCCTGTAAAGCTATCGCCTTCTTCAACCATCAAATAGTGGTTTCCACAAGATTCATCGGTATGAACCCCATCATGCGGTGAGGTCCTTAAATCTACCACCCAAATCATCGATGCATGGTACACTTACTTCCCTTTCCCCATGACCTCGGCCAAGAATTCGGCAACTTCTTCGCATGGCATCCGGTCCAATGCTCATGGTTCAACGGGAAATCATCGTCCTTGGGATGTTTTGGGATGATTCTCGCTGCTGCAGGTGTATCCATGGGCATTCGCTGCCAGTTGGCTCACCGTTCAGTGGCTGTATCGCTTAAATTCACCGCAGCCACACCTGAGACAGGTTTTGGGGAACCAAAGGAATATCCCAAAGCCACTCAACCTGCGACCCCCGTCCGATTTATGCTCCTTAGATCTTTTTAAATCCCAGTTTGGGCAGATCAAATCCATCAAAATCCCAAACTCCACAGACCCCCAACCCTCACAAGCCCCTCCTGCAAGGTGTGAGCCCGGCAAATCCAGGTCCAACCTTAAAGCTGCTGCGGCGGCCGGCTTTACATAACCATGTCAGAATATCTATGTACATTTATCATCATCTATTTCAATCCTTCATGTGGTTTCTTCATTTGTTTATTCAATAAAGATACACACACACACATAAATACATGTGATACCCTCTGGTTGCTTAACATAGCCATGGAAAATGACCCATTTATAGATGGTTTACCTATTAAAAATGGGTGGATCTTTCCATGGCTATAGCGGCTATGTTAAATAACCAGATGGTATGCGGTTCCACCCGCCAACTAGATGACTAGCCAAGGCATAAGACGGGACCTTTTCTTCGCGACCCGCGTCACTTTGCCGCGTCAGAGTCGCTCGAGCACGTCAGCTGGTAAATCATACCCCAGGCGGCACAGCGCATTGAACATCTGGGGCGTCAGAAGCCTGGGCAAAGGTGTTTTTGAACAAATGATTCTGAGCAAAGTTCTTATCACACAAACCTACCACCATTCTTGGGATGATGAGCCCTTACTAACCAAACTTTGACAGTGAGATAGATCAGTGCCATCGCTGCCCAAAGTTCATGGGGAACTCGCTTTTGATGATCAAAGTGGTGGCCGGCAACATTGGATAAAATCCTGGGTCCTAAATTCAGACCTGGTTTTTACAGTCTGAGAAGGCGTTTGAAGCTGCGGGGTATAAGCTCATCTGTGATGGTCATATCATATTAAATCGCGTTTTAATGATAAAATCATGGTAAAAACATGGTAAATCATGGTAAAAAACCCTTATGTGTCCGCAGTTTTTGGATGGCGAAATCCAGGACGCTGATTGGACGTGGGAGGCGCAGGAAAGCGACCGAAGCAGCGATTGCACCATGTCCTGCCAGGTGGCGATGGTGGGCCATGGGAGCGTACCAATGCTGGGAGAATTCAGTGGATTAAGTTTGTTTAAAATGATGCTTATTGATGATTATTAATGGTTATTAATGGTTGTTAATGGTTATGAATGGTTATGAACGGTTATTCATGATTATTAATTGTTATTAATGGGTATTAATAGTTGTCAATCCAGTGATAGTGGGATGTTTGAATTGTGGATCTAATTGGCTGTTAATTTACACCAATCCAGGAGTTATGTCTCTGGGATGGGAATAATTGATACACTTACCTCCTGGATTTTTTCCTTTTACAGGATTAATGTGGACTATCCATTCACTGCAAGTACATGAATTGTCAATATTGGCATAAGGTATTTACATTCAGTGAATTGGTAATTAGGAATACAGAATACCTGTAATTTTCATTGTGGAATTACCTGTAGCATTCAGGATACTAGGTAATGTACCATTCAGTGAATGTATACTGGGACAATCCAGTAAGGATGCACTAACGGCAAGGGGAAACAAAAATGCTATTCATGAGCTGGTTATTGATGGTTGTTAATGGTTATCAACCCAATGATAATGGAAATCATATAATTTGGAATTATTGCTACTATTATCCTTAATAACTTTGATAGTTAACATATTATAATCCATTAATAACCATTATATCAACCCTCCGCCCCGCGCCGCCAGCCCCGGGTCTTATGGCAGCAGTCGCAGCAGCAGCCGCCCAAGTCGCTCTGCTCCATACCTTCAAAAGACTCGTCCAGCTCCTCAGTGGGCCCACCATGGGATCCGTGGCTGTTGTTGACCTATAAACCATACATATAATTCATATAGATAAAACTCACATATAATACTTATATACAACTGTATGTGACTGGGAGTGTATATATATATATTTTTATCATATACCCATTTATAATTATATTTATAACATATTTATATTCATTTAAAAACTTGGTAAAAAAAGGTGATTACATGTTCTGACCATGGTCATTGACCCACTGAATCAATACTGATGCACTCCCCAAATCCTGGGATAGCGATCTAACCCTTGGGATCTCACCACCGGAAAAACGTGTTCCACCAGTAATTTCTGGTGGATTGCCAATGGGACAATATCATTGGTAAAACAATAAGAATTGGGACAACTATATATATATATATGTATATATTATCTAATTTTCTATATAATTGTTATCTGGTTGGCGGTTTCAACCCCTCTGAAAAATGATGGAGTTCGTCAGTTGGGATGATGACATTCCCAACTGAATGGAAAATCATAAAATTAGTTAGAATTCCATGGTTCCAGTCACCACCTACCAGTTATATTTCATGTTCATCCGGGAAATGGAATGGAATGTAGTAGTGATCTTTTCATCCGCAAAATTCAGCTTTTCAGCTAGGTGATCATCTCAAAGAAACGTAAAAACCACTGGCTTTTTGGCATAGAAACAACCATGGATCATTGGGATTGGCTCAACCACGAGAGTAGTGGATGGTTAAATGGATGGACATTGATTGATTTGTTTCTTGAAATTGACTGAAATGACTGAATCCAGTCATGGAAATCAATTGATTGAAATTGACTGAAATGACTGAATCCAGTTGAAATTGAAATCAATGAATTTATCAATGGATCAAAGAGAGGATCTCCAAGGTTGGACCATGACGAAGGCCCTCCTCGGAATCCCAGGCTCTGGGGCTATGGCACCCATGACCTCCTCTTCTGATAGATGTTGCCAGATGGGCAAAGACCTTCCAGGAGGCACCTGCCGAAATGACACCGGTGAACTGAAAGGAGTGAAAGGAAGTCTATGCACTCTATGTTCCCCATGGTCATGGCCAATTTCTCATTTCAGTGATGTTCTTCAAAAACCATCTGCGCAAAGGGACCAGTGTCTCCACCTTGTTCCGCAGCACCGTCAGAATGTTGTCACGTTTCTCCTACGCGCCGAGGACAGTGAGTTCAATCAGCTCAGCATGCTGTTGGTGCAGATATGCGCTTTCGTGATGAATGCTTATATAAAAATGGTCTAATGTGGTAAACTCGATAAGTTGGAAAAGTGGCATTAAAAAAAAGCTGTCTAAGACATGGCAGCTTTTCAGGGCTATGATAGGGCCAACGGAAAATTCCACAAACCCTCTTTTGGGGTCCAAGTCTGTTTCTGAATACTACGCAAATTGGATGGGCCTACCAATCCTACCACATAAAGTGCCCCAAGACATGGGATTTGATGAGCGTCTGCCGGTCTGCAGGAGGACCTGGAGTTGGGGATCATGATTTTTTTTTAATGAATTCATTAGATTGGTTTAAGGGAAAATGTACAGGAACTGCCTAGAATTCTTGGTAAAAACCCATGGTTTCCTGTAGATGTTTTCCTACTATCCACTGCTTGATGGGAGATTCTGGATGATGCATTATGGGGCAATTTGGGGATAAGATCAGAAACAAACTTCTTTGTCATGGCTCTACCAGTACTTTCTTAGTAGTGACAAGGTTTGAAGCATAGGGAAGGCCATATGAATGAAACGAAAGTATCTATGTATCAACAATTCGTGAGAGCACACAAAATCATTCCCGCACGTCTTCTTCACAAACGCCACATGACACCACACGTGAGTTTCTTCAGTGTCCAGAAATTACATTCAACACAAACATTCAGCAAGTCATCTTCCTACATCCATTTCTTCAATGATTCCCCATGATAAAGAAGACATCATGAGCCACTTTTAATCTTCCCAGCCAGCCAGTTACCTCCCCCACCGCGCTCCACATCATCGTAGTAGCAAATGCCCAACTCCAACAAGTAGCCGTCTGTCCACACGCAGTCGCGAATGGCATGCAACGGGCCACGCCGTGGATCCTCCAAGTTGTAGAGGTAGCCGATATCTTCATCGTGCCTGCAGGCGGGCTGCGATGTGCGTTAATATACATTTATATTGGTTTTTATTGGTTTATATTGGTTAATCACCATGGCTAGGACCGAATGATATGTGGCATATCCCCAGCATTCCCGGTATTCCCCACGTCCCACTGGGATTCATCTCTGAACACGACATCTCGGTGAGACCACTGTGACCACTGCCGCTGTCAGATTTCCAGATGAATCAAACTGCCGAGGGATATCAGTGGGAATTCATTTGGAAATCAGTGGGAAATCATTATCATTTGGATATGATATAGTGGAAGAATCAATATGATATATAGTTACCCTCTAGTAAACATACTAACATAGCTATTGAAAATGGTGATAGAAATTGGTTGATTTACCGAACTTAAAAATGGTGATTTTCCATAGTTATGTAAACGTTTACCAAAGGTTGGAGGGGATGTCATGGAATACAATGGAATACAGGTGGGATACAGATGAGATACAGAACCACTTGGAGAATCATCCCAGAAATCATAACTGGCTGGTAACCATAACATCCATGTATATACCCTCTGGTAAATATACAAAAAACTACGGAAAGATCCACCATTTTCAATGGGTAAATCCACTATTTCGACTGGGCCATTTTCAATAGTAAACTGTTAGTTTACCAGAGGGTAGTCATTCTCCATTGTTGATGGTAAAATCACCATTTTGATGGTAAAATCACCATTTCTGATGGTAAAATCACCATTGTAATAAAATGACATACCTCACCCCCGTGAAAACCAGCTCCCTGAGGATCGCACATCATCTGTAGCAACTTCTGCAGGCATCCCATCTCCTGGTTCTCAGAAAAGTTGTGGCCCGAGTCATCTCGCCCTTTTGTCATGGGTCAAGAATCAGCAAATCGTCACACACAAGCATATCATATATATATATGTGACAGCTGACAGACCCATTTATAGATGGTTTACCTATTAAAAATGGTGATTTTCCATTGCTATGTTAAATAACCGGAGGGTATATATACTAGTATATTTACATGTGATGCGTATATATCAAAACAAAAAGTAATATGTTATGTAACATAGTGTGTGTATATATATATATCCTGTCTCTCTACGTCCGAATTTTTGGCTGATTGAAGCTTCGGTATTTTCTGGTGATTCCCCAAGAAACTTCGCCCCCATCCCCATCCCGTCCTGCCCCATCCCCATCCCGTCCTGCCCCACGGATTCCTCCCCGGTGTACACGGCCAGGATCCGGCGCTGCCGGCGCTGCAGCAGCGCCAAGATCCCGGTGTTTTCCAGGACGCCGCCGTCCGACAGGTAGACGCTCCGCGGGGCGCGAGGGGATCTCGGCTGGGAGACCAACCGGGACACAAAAACCGGGACTTCAAACCTGAGTGTTGATGGGTTTCTTGGGGAATCACCAGAAAATGGTGTGCTCACTTTTCCAGACCAACAAAAAATTTTAGGTGTTCAAACCTGGAAAACGGTGGGGCTGTTGAAATCAATGTTTGAACCAATAGCAATGGTGGAACGATGAGCATTGGATTTGATGATTGTGACAATTATCCTTGCGGCCCTGGCTGGGAGCTATAAGAATTATGAGACAAGAATGACTTCAAGTCAAGTAACTTCAAACATCCTACTATTGTTTTGAAGTCATATTTAGTTGGGAATATATTTGACTTTAATATCATATGTTGGGTTCATACACTCAAACATCATACTATTATCATAACCCAACCTAGCAAACTTGGTTATGGGCGAGCTTGGATCCCCTTCTAACAGGATGGTTCCTGCTATCCCTTGGTACATCCCCTGGAGATCGAGCCAAGTGACTGGTAGTAGAACATGGTCGCCTGCTGCATGATGCGAATCACAGGACTATGTTGAAGCCAGCCTCAGCGAGCGAATCACGACCCAAGCCGGAATCACATGGGGAAATCTGGCTGAATGAGTTCTGCATTTCAATCATTCAACTCACTGTGGTAAACAATACTAAACTAAACTTATGGAAAACCATCCCCAAGATCACCATTTTGATGGTAGGTTTGCCATCCCCAAATGGTCGATTTCCTACATTGCTTTGCCAGGTTTTCCCACATTCTCCTGGAGTGAATAAAAACTATCATCTATGGTGCCGGTCAACGAGATGATTATAGTAATGTCGAACTTCACCGGAAGTTTGCGCCATTGCACTCCAAAGATTTCATTCTTGGAAAAGCCAATAAGATCCAATAAGTACCATGTTCAATCAAAACATCTATGACAGCAGCATCGCTTGTTCCAACGATTCCATGACAGCATATGGCGAATTCTGCTGATCCATCAGTTTCCATGACATTTCCAGAAGTCAGCGTCACGGCGTCACCGGGTGCGCCAAGAAGCCCAAGAAATTGAAGAAACCTCAGCGGAGATTACGGAGTCGCTATTCCCCCAAGTCCCATGAACTTGAAACGTCAACATCTCAGAAAACCATGGATAAACCACCCAGTCAATGGATTTTAATGGGTCTTAATGGGTTTCAATGGGTTTCAATGGGATCTTAAACAATGATAAACCACCCAGTTAATGGATTTTAATGTGGTTAAAACAATGCCATAAACCACCCATGACTGGGAATGGTAACCATACCACCTATAAATGGTGAGATTGGGGATGGTTTATTATTGTTTTATCCATATTACTTGTATTTACCATCCCCAATTTTACAAAATTAACCGGTGGTAAATAGCCATCCCCGATGGTAGGTTTAGGATGGTGTATGGCATTGGCTTTTCCAGGCGATCTGGAAAAAAAAACTTGCGGTCATGGGGAGATGATTTTCCGAATCCAAACCGTCATTCCAGTGACGGAAAACGACGTCAGGTCATTATAATTCATCCAAACGCTATCTAAAGCGGCTAGTTGGGATTATAACTCCATTAGGATCCATTAGGGAATATTCAGAAACCGTGAACCAATGGTTTTTCATATCGCTATGTCACCATTCTCTACTTTTCATAAAGCAATATCATATAATATCATAAACCACCCATTTTTCATGGTTTATACGGCCATTTATACGGCCATTTATGGTAAGTTTTGGGATGGTGGGATCCTTTTCTTTACGTTTAGCCACGTTCGACCATTCGACCATATTCGACCAGCGGCTGAAGAAGCTCAGGATCCCAAAGATGAGGCCCCACCTGATCACATCCAGTGGTTTTCTGATTTTCTACATGCTGAATGATGGTTGATAATTTCATATGATGGGTTAATGATGGGAAAATGATGGTTGATAATAATGATGGTAATAATGGTTTCATAATGATGGTATAATAATAATGATGGTTTCATACAAGTAAATAATGGGTTAATGATGGTTTATGATGTTAATACTGGATAATAATGGTTGATAATTTCATATGGTTAATGATGGTTGATAATAATGATGTTAATAATGGTTGATGATTTAACATAATTTAACATGGAGGTTTCCGTTTCGTCATGGGGGTACACCCAGTATCCAGTCGTCATGGATGACCAGGACGTAGAATTGAAACCTACGGTGACGGTCCCGGTGATCCCCTATTTTAAGACACTACCATTGGGCATGGGTCCACAGTCAAGACATGTTACCCTCTGGTGAACTAACATAGCAATGGAAAATTGCTATTTATAGTGGATTTTCCCATTAAAAATGGTGATTTTCCATTGCTATGTTAGTTCACCAGAGGGTAAGACATCTTAAGACATCTCAAGACATCTTGGGACATTTTAGGATCCAAATGTTTGATGCTTGAAACCACGACATGTTCTTTTAAGACTCATTTCGAGTTCCAAACAGTTGCCATTTGTTTGTAGTGCCTTATCAAAATCATGACGAAATCCCACATCCCCAGCCATTCCTGGTTCTCTTTTCCAACTTTTCCAACTTTTAGCCTTCCTATAAACCGTGTGGATATGCCAAAGAAATACGGTACTAGATTCACTGATTTGTGATCATCTTCCCTACTACAGCCATGATTGGTGATAAATACTCCGCTTTCAGACCCCAATGTCATATTGTTGGCATTAGTTGGCTATATGTCCCATTCTATCCATGGAAAATTCCATGGTAAACTCACCATTTACCTTGTTAACAGCCGCTCAATTTCTGTGTAAATTACAAGGACCCCCTGCCTGATGGGACCCCATAAATCACCATGGTCGCTTCCCAAACGGAATGGGGGTTTCAAAAATGGGAGCAGTATGGGAGTGGTATGGGAGTAGGGGTCCCATCATTTTGTTTCGACCCGCCGTAATTTCGAGCAACGAACTGCTTACAGTAATAGATTCTCTCTCTCCTGATTGTTATAATTCCCCTACAATCATTGGTTCATTAAAAATTCTACACATAGATAACCTTTGAAAAGTCTTAGGCTTCTGAATTAATTCACCAACTGATATATATATATATTATATATATAATCATCAATGGCTATGGAAAATGGCACCATTCACAAACGATTTGATTTACCTATTACAAATGTTGGTTTTCGAGTTCGCAAACCGCTATTGGCCACCAGTTACCATGGTAAATCACCATGAAAAACCATGGTAAACACCAATGGATGTCTTAAATCACCATTAAACCACCATTAATTCAATCTAAATTGAATCTAAATCATCAATTCATCATCCACCATTGATCATCTAAATCATCAATTCATCATCGTCTTCATCATCTGTCCACCACCAATCCTTGCAGATCTTGCGGCTAGGCCACCATGCCGCCAGCTGCACCAAGCGATACTGCACTTGACAGGTCTCGGTGGAGATCTCTCCATGAGATGCGAGCCACGAAGCGCTAAACCTAGCGAAGCAGTGCTCGAAAAAACGTAACGTATCCCAATTGGGCAAAAAAAAGAGTTGGGATGCATGGAATATATCCCAACTCTAATATCATATATCTAATTTAATACATCCCACATGCGTTCTTTTTCTGCGCATCCAGTTGTATATCGCCATATGTGCATATATATATATTATATATATATCAGAAAACTCATCATAATCCCAATTTATAGTGATGTTTAATAGGGATTTCTTGTTAGATTTCTGGGATTAAAAAAAATGGTGCCGGCGCCTCAAAGAGGCCGGCCGTTTTTGAACGTTTATCCACCGTCGTGATTTGTTGATTTCATCAAAAATGGTATCAAAAAAAGGACGTAAAGTGCTGTAAGGGTCTCCGAACCAAGTGTGTTTTTGCAACCCTCGCAGGACTTCGTAGCCTTTTTTGTCTCAAGCTCGGCTTCTCAAACTGCGGTTCTGGACTTTCTGACACAATTGGCCAAGTGACGCCCATAGGGATGTGTGCCATAACCATGACTACACATATGACATAATATTTTCTGTATTGAGGTATCCATCAGCCGAACGACTTTTCAAGTGAAGGCAAGTTCATAACACGTATCATGAAAGAAGTTCTTAAGACGCATCATCAAGAAGTTCTTAAGATGTATCATCAAGAAGTTCTTATGGCATATTATCAAAAAGTTCTTAAAACGTAGCATCAAGTGAAGGCAAGTTCTTATGACATAACATCAAAATAAGGCAAGTTCTTACAACGTAAAATCAAGAAGTTCTTAAGACGTATCATGAAATAAGTTCTTAAGACGTAGCATCAAGAAGTTCTTAAGACATATCATCAAGAAGTTCTTATGGCGTATCATCAAAAAGTTCTGAAGATGTAGCATCAAGTGAAGGCAAGTTCTTATGACTTAACATCAAGAGAAGTCAAAATCTTATTGCGTATCATGAAAGAAGTTCTCAAGACGTATCATCAAGAAGTTCTTATGGCGTATCATCAAAAAGTTCTTAAGACGTAGCATCAAGTGAAGGCAAGTTCTTATGACGTAACATCAAGTGAAGGAAACCTTGAGGTGGGAGTCGAAAGAATTTCTCAGGACGTAGCATCAAGTAGGTGTGCAAGTGGCAAGACGTTATTGCCCCCACCCCCCCCCACCCAAATCCAACCCAAGATGAAAAAGCAATGAAGTTTGAAAAAGAGCATAAACGCCCGGCCTCTTACGGGCGCCACCAAAAAAATATCAAAAAAGGCTGCCTAGAATGGCCACAATCCTACCATCTGGGGATGGGTAAACAACCACCAAACAAATTGTCATATTGGGCATGGTGCATAACTGGGTTTATCGTGGTTTATCAATGTTTATCACATGTTTTTTTGGACTTACCATGAGTTACTCCTATTGGCGACAACCCGAAAAATCCATCGCTTGAGCGGTCAGAAACCTGGAAATTCATGGAAATTCGGCAAAGACCATCTACATCCATCTACGTCCATCTACAACATCCCGGAAAACTTTCCGTTTTTGGAGACCCCTTTGACCTGACTGGTGACTCTTTACGTGGCTCCTTTTGATCCTGATCCAACCGGCTTGCGGCGAAGAGGCAGTAGAAGATAGACCACCTCCAATACCGCCAGCGCCAAGAACCGCTGTACTCGGACCCTGCCGGTATCCAAACATGATGCCGCCAATACATGCTATAGACCATAGAAAAAATAGAGAAACTCCATGTCATGGTCCATGATGCCCAGCCATGTCATGCTACATCGCAGAATCGGAGTGGTCTAAAAACTGAGGTCAGCCATGGTCGCCTGTTGGGTCACCTTTGTGTGGGGTCACTAAAAAACCATCGCAGTATGCGGTGAACTCTTCGGGTTTTTGTCCACCGAATATTTTCGGCCCCAGCTTCTTCCACCAAGGCTCCATTCTCCTGGTCTGCGGCTGATGCACACGAAATCGCCCATGAAGAATCCGGAGGCTTCCAACCAGAAGCGCAAACCTCGGTCGACGCCTACATGGCCACCTCTGGTGGGTTTCTGGTGGGTGGAGGATTTGGATCCGATGTTCATCACGGGAGATCCAACACATGATTTTTCACATGGGTGTCAACAATGTTGTCTTTTGGAAGATCTCAAAAAATATCGAACCCTATAGAAATCTAGGGTTACTTTGTTACTTCCAAAAAAAAAACAACCCAACACTTGAATTTCAACATATCAAGAAAAGAATCGGCTGGCACCACCAAAATCCCACCACTTTCCCCATCCATATTTGATGCTAAAAACCCATCGGTTTCCGGTGTAGGTTTCCCCGACAAAACCAATCCAACGAATTTTAGCCATGGTCTTTAGATGATAAATGATAGCCCCTTATAATCACATGACATTCCCATGGATAATCCATAATAGGTCATTATAATCCCATTCTAATCCATTGCAATACTGATAGGAATGAATACTCAGCCATCACCACTTATCCTTAAAACCCATTTGGCCCATTTCACTATGGAAATCATTACCAATGACACTACTTAAACCAATCCATTAACAGACACTACAAACCAATCCTCATTAACATCTATTAGCATGCTATTTTTACCCATCCAACGACCTCAACGGCGCCATTTTCGGGGAACTCATGGAGTCATAGTTGGCCATGATGAATCCATCAATGGCGCCTCCGCTCAACGCTGCGGTGCGCGCCAGCGGCCGCTGCCCGTAGCTGGCGAAGTAGCCCAGCCGCTCGCCACCGGCGAAGAGCTGGGTGAAGGTCATGTAACCTGGGGAAAGCCGGGAAAAGTGGTGAAGAACTACGGAAAAATGGTGGAAAGATGAGGAAATTGGCCATGAACAATGATGAATACGGGAATTGGCCAGGAAAAATGATGGACAATTAGGAAATTGCCAGGAAAAAACATGAAAACGATCAGAAACATGTTTGGAAAATGTTGGATTTCACATATTTCACCAGGAAAAGCGGTGACAAAAATGTTGGAAAATTGGGATTTTAGCCAGGTAGCTGAAGGGCTTGGTGTCACCCAACTGGCGCAAGGCTGGGGGGAAAAGAGGCGGGAAAACTAGGGCTGGGGGTAAAGATATGCATGAGATGGCATAGCACGTGCACACACGCATATATATATATATTGTATTATACTATGTTATATGATATTAACTGATGTTAAATATATTACAATATTATATATATTTAATATAATTTAATATAATATATATATATCATATATACATTATGATATTAGATATTTAAGATAATATATATATAAGATATATATAAGATATATATATATATAAGATATATATATATATAAGATACATACATATATACATATATGTAAATATGCGTGCATAGTTGTGATCTATTATTTCATGTTTATTTCTCGATAGCATAGAACTAGTTCGTACGATGGGGTGGCCATCCAATTCCCGGGGTCCAAATCACTGGGGATGTCTTCGTTTCGATGGCCATCCAGGACTAGCCAGGGGTTGGTCCAAAAATGAGGGGTAGGTATACCACCAACCAGTAATTAACATGAAAATTATCATATCATATCTACATATATCTACCCTCTGGTAATGATTAACATAGTGGAACATTGCCATAGAAATAGTTGATTTACCCATTAAAAATTGCGATTTGGGATGATTTACTATCTATTAACCACTTCTATGATGATATATCATATATATATATAGAGAGAGAGAGTTGATGGCCATTTTGAATAAGAACATGATACTCTTTAAAGATATAAGAACGATGATGATGAAATGATTAAATAGACATTAAAGCTGGTTGGTGGTTGACCTACCCCTCTCCAATGGAAAAATAAAATTCATGTTCCAAACTACCAACCGGCAATTATTACATTATCGTGCATGTATGTATATATATATATGCTAGAAAACATATTGTGAAGTAATTATCGCATACTAGAAAACATATTGGGAAGTAATGCGAACATGATTAATTATAAAATGGTATAAACCATCACTGTGGCTTGGAAATAACATGGACATATCTCATTTTCAGACCAACCCAACCAAGGCTTGCCCTTGTTGCTCATGTCTCCATTGTCACCCATGACCTGCATGTAGTCATTCACCGTGGCGTTGACCAGTAGCATGGGGCAGTAGATATTCTGCCGCACATCTGCCCATGTACCTTTCACCAAGAACGTGTTGATCTTCAAGTAACTGGCTGAAAGGAATATATGGGAAAACCTGAACAAGTCAGAGATAGTCTTGAGATACTACAAGTCATGGTTTCCTGCAAGCTCTCACCTTACTCTTCGTGGTTGAATCGCTATGTTTATATGTTTAATATCCTGTGTGAAATGTTCTATTCTTGATGATAATCCATTCAAAATCCATGAAAATCCAAGTTTTCCGTGTAATTTCCATGTTTGATGGTTAAGCCGCAAAAAAAACCATTGAATCCTCTTTAAAATCCATGGTTCTTCATGGTTCAATCCATCATCGCCGGCAGGGCGGCAAGGCGCAAGTCTCGCCGTTGGCGTAGAAGGCACGCTGAAGGCTCCGGGAGTAATAGCGATGCCTTGGCGGCAGACGGCTGTGGGCATGTCGGTCTGGGATTGATAGGTTTCGATGGTTTCATGAGTGTTTTATACATTTTTCTGTTGTGATTGGAAAATGATGAAAAATGTTGTTCTGATTTTTTGTTTCAAAAATTGAAGACGTGTGTAGATTTTCATGCTCGAAAGGGCGTGTCTTGCCCTGCTGCACTTGCAAGCTTTCTAAGATTCAACCCGTGCCACCAAGAAGAAAGTGGTCAGGCTGAATCATCCTCCAATCCAATTGAAGGATGTGGGAAGAATGGAAGTATAGAGCAAACCCCAAGAAGATAGAAGAGGAAACTTGCTGGCCACCTCATGAATTCCTTCGGGTAGAAGGAAACTGGATCACTTGCGTACTTTTCCAGAATATCTTCTTCTGGTCGGATGATTGGGGTTATACTTGGCATTGCTTGAGGAACCACCAAAAAATAGAAAGTATTCCCTATAGATTCCCCAAGTACTGAATTTCCCATTGGGAAAACCAAACAAACAAATCATCCACTCGGCAAATCCAGATCTTCGAAAAAAAATCGACGAAACCAACCACATCTCCGTCAAGATCACTGGGCCAGGTGGCATGAAGGTCCGCATGAAACGAGAGAAGCCCAGGCCAATCATGGCCCCCACCAGACTCACCTGCCTCGATCTCCGACCCCCAAGAGGATAGAAAAGTCATGAAAAGTCACATCCAACATCCCACTTGAATGTGATGAATGAAAGTTCTTCTATCCTTTTCTATCTCGGTTTTTGGGATGACTGGAATCATGTGTGCATTAGTTATACTTTTCTATGCCAATAAGAACATGCAGGATACACAGATGTGTTGCGTAAATGCGCGTTGATCACATGGTAAGCAGTCGCTGGCTACAATGTCATAGTCGCCCAGCGCCGCCACATGGGAAAACTGTGCAGAAATGAGGCCCAACAAAGGATAGATGGCCAACCATCTTACAATGAAACACCTCAGTTTCACAAATCAAATATACAGTAAACATTCAATACACAAACAGCTCACATAAAACAAAAAAAAATTAGCCAGCCTCCCATCCGGAACACAGGGCCCAGCTACAAAAGGAAGTTCCATCGCTCTCGATTCAGCGAGAAACCAAAGTAACGCTCCTGATTCAGAGGCTTTCAACCATCCAAGGCCACCAGACTTCCCACCGTCCTTACAACCTCCTTTCAGGTGGGACCTGCCAGTTATAAGTTGCAGTTGGCTGATAAGGATTATTGACTATCTAGTTAGTTTATTGCCTTAAACATCCATAAACATCCATAAACCCTATAGTTTTCTCTGGTTATTTCTGGTTATAAACCAACTTGCCTCTCCGAAAAAAAAAAAAACACATCGCACCAAGACAGTGGCTCTCCGTGCCTGGGTGATGGCACCAAGCACCCGAAACTGCACCAAGAAGAAGGTGAACGCAAACCTGACGTCGAAACGTCGGTCCCTTGGAGAAACGTATCATTGTATCTGTAGCTTGATGCGTAGCTAATGATCGATAGAATAGGTAATGATAGGCATGATAGGTAGATAGATAGATAAATAGATAGATAGATAGATGGATAGATAAGACAAGATAAATAAGATAGATAAGATGGATAAGATAGATAAGATAGAAAAAATAGATAAAATAGATAAGATAGATAAGATAGATAAGAGAGATAAAATAGATAAGATACATAAGATAGATAAGATAAGATAAGATAAAATACGATAAGATAAGATAAGGTCAGATAAAGATAAGGTCAGATAAAGATAAGATAAGTTAAGATAAGATTAGATAGATTAGATAGATTAGATAGATTAGATAGATTAGATAGATTAGATAGATTAGATAGATTAGATAGATTAGATAGATTAGATAGATTAGATAGATTAGATAGATTAGATAGATTAGATAGATTAGATAGATTCGATAGATAGATTATAGATAGATTATAGATAGATAGATAGATAGATTAGATAGATTAGATAGATTAGATAGATTAGATAGATTAGATAGATTAGATAGATTAGATAGATTAGATAGATTAGATAGATAGATAGATAGATAGATAGATGGATAGATAGATAGATAGAAAGATAGATAGATAGATAGATAGATGGATAGATAGATAGATCAGACTAGATTGGACTGGATTAGATTTAGTTTAAATTAGATTTAGATTAAATTAGATTAGGTTAGATTAGATTAGATTAGGTTAGGTTAGATTAGATAGATAGATAGGTAGATAGATAGATAGATTAGGTAGATATTTCAGGTAGATAGATAGATAGATAGACAGATAGATAGATGGATAGATAGATAAATAGATAGATAGGAAAGGAAAGGGTAAGATGAGATAAGATAAGTCAAGATAAGATTAGATTAGGTTAGATTAGATAGGTAGATAGATAGATGGATAGATAGATATTAGATTAGGTAGATAGATTAGATTAGATTAGATAGATAGATAGATGGATAGAACGATAGATAAGATAGTTATATAAGATAGAAAGTCAAGATAGTCTGATAGATAGTCTGATAGATAGCCAAGATAGTCAGATAGATAGATAGATAGATAGATAGATAGATAGATAGATAGATAGATAGATAGATAGATAGACAGATAGATAGATAGATAGTCAGATAGATAGATAGATAGATAGATAGGTAGATAGATAGGTAGATAGATAAATAGATTGGTAGATAGATAGATTGATTGAAAGATAGATGTGGCAACAATGAAAGCTAAATTTAGATAGATTGATACGGAAATTTATAAAACCATATCATATGTATTATCCTTTTCTATGACAACAATGCTGGAACAACTGATAATACCGAGACGAAGAAAATATATGGATAACCTATATGTTATAGCCAGCCCCGAACACAGAAAAGTAGCATGTCGCTATTTTAGTAGGATTTTACTGTTCTATCTTTTCGGGCCTGATGTATTTTTGTCTACATCTACTGAGTCTCTCTCTGATCTGTTTCTGTTTATACAAGTTGCCAGCGAAATGTTGGCATTCCAGCATTTCACAAATTTCAACTGGGAATTCCTACTTTGATATCACCATTTGTATTATGGTGTTATATAAATACTAAACACTTCCATCTTCCTTTATGGTGTTTGTCTCCTTCTTTTTGAGCTTGCGGCCAAAAGGCAGCAAGACCGGCACAAAAATGTTGAAGACGAGCACAAAAAACTCCTCAAAGGCACTGAGACGTGTCATTGGAGACTGCTGCAGGAATCACCCGTTCAACTAGCCATATTCATCCCAAATATGAGCGTTTGCCAACATGGGGGGACCCCAAAATGGATGGTTTATAATGGAAAAAAAACAATTAAAATGGATGATTTGGGGTTACCCCTACTTTAGGATAGAAAAGCAGCATGCCTAAAGTCACCCAGAAATTCATTGGTCCATCTCTGCAAAGCTTGTTATGTCTCACCACTCCGATTGCCGATGTTTTCCAATTTTGGGATACCCACCGGTAATCTAACATAGCGAACTGGAAAATTGCCCATAGAAATAGTTGATTTACCTATCAAGAGTGGTGATTTTCCATAGTTTTTTTGTATGTTTACCAAAGGGTAATTACTGCAGTAAGCATCACTCAACTGGGCAGCCTGTTCCATCAGCATCGCTCAATGACTAGTTCATAGGCACGCTGCACCCAGAAATGAAATGAACTAGTGTGGGATGTGACACGTTCGTCCATCATGATGGTTTCAGATCTATACATACACACACACCTATCTATATATATACATATTTGTTCACTGATCGAATTCCCAAGCGTTTGTTGTTACTGTAAATCCACAGGTTTCACGGCTTGATACACCCATACCTACCCTATTTGTGCGAAAATCCTCACTTATATACTTATTTTGTTGGTGGTATCCCTGTTACGTATTTGAATTTGGCAATTCCATTTTTTGCGCGTTCTCACCCATTTACTGTTGGTGATATTCCCATCGTTTTTTTGGCTTAACCCAACAACGTTTACTGCTTAAATCTACCATGTCCATTGCGCATATCATCTCATATTCCTATTTTACTTCAACCCCAAGCCCCAGAGTTTTACACTTTCACAAGTAAAACAGATGAAATTTCCATGAGTTACCTAACCTCTGGTAAACTAACGTAACTATGGGAAATCACCATTTTTAATGGGTAAATCCACTATTTCTATGGCCATTTTCAAGGTTGCTATGTTAAATTACCAAAGGGTAGATCCCTCATCATTCTTGGACCAACCCTGGCTAGTCCTGACTCTTGGGGGTATCATAGAAGTGGTTAATAGATAGTAAATCATCCCAAATCACCATTTTTAGTTGGTAAATCCACTATAAATGGCCATGCTCAATAGCTATGTTACTTTTGGGGTCTCCGCTCCGCTCCGCCGTGGCACCGGGACGATGGGCAACAGCAGCGCTGCCGAGATCAGAACCAGCACGACCAGCAGCAGGAAGACCGGTAGAAAGGTCTCGCCCAAAGGTCGTTGAAGCAACCAGGCCTGATCAACAATCAATCATCCATCTACCTATTTATCTGTCTATCTGTCTATCTATCTATCTGTCTATCTATCTGTCTATCTATCTGTCTATCTATCTGTCTATCTATCTGTCTATCTATCTGTCTATCCATCTATCTGTCTATCTATCTGTCTATCTATCTGTCTATCTATCTGTCTATCTATCTGTCTATCCATCTACCTATTTATCTGTCTATCTGTCTATCTATCTATCTGTCTATCTATCTGTCTATCTATCTGTCTATCTATCTGTCTATCTATCTGTCTATCTATCTGTCTATCTTTCTGTCTATCTTTCTGTCTATCTATCTGTCTATCTATCTGTCTATCTATCTGTCTATCTATCTGCCTATCTATCTATCTATCTATCTGTCTATCTATCTGTCTACCTATCTGTCTATTTATCTGTCTATCTGTCTATCTATCTATCTGTCTATCTATCTGTCTATCTATCTGTCTATCTATCTGTCTATCTATCTGTCTATCTATCTGTCTATCCATCTACCTATTTATCTGTCTATCTGTCTATCTATCTGTCTATCTATCTGTCTATCTATCTGTCTATCTATCT